GTAACTACATAACCGGGTCAGTAGCACACTGCCTGACCCACGAAGCCGAGCGTGGCGACCGGAGACCGAATATCGAAGAGACGTAGCACCGGCGGGTTCCATTCCAACAGACAGCCGCGATTGCTCTCGGGACCTCCCCTTTATACTCCCGAGCACGTGGCCACGCCCCCTTCTGGATCTCACCAGAAGGTTCTCGACCCAGCACCACGTGTCCCTCAAGCCACCCATTGGGGCCCCTCGCTACCCTGTTCTGGTCACGTGCCTTCTCGGGGTCACCCAGACTGCCACGTCCTCACTTGCCCTCTCTCTGACCGTCACCAGAACCATGCGCTCTATGGCCCGCTTGCATGCCATACCTACTCTGGTGCCAGAGAGAGAGGCTCAAGATGCATAGTTCCAGTCTTGTGACAGTGGCTGGCGTTAACCACCATAGTGACTCCATTAAACGTCACTCCACCAGTACTCGCCATTCGCCACTCAGTGACGGTGACGTCACCACGGTGCTTGTGCCAGGCCAGGTGCACTTTGAGGCCACGTGAAGTGTCCAAGGCTCGCTGACAGGAGGTCAAGGGACAGAATCAGGTGCCATGGGTTGACTGAGATGACGAGCAAACATTTTATCCGCTCGGCGCTCCACTCGTGAGCGTCGTTTCTCTTCCCTCCGTTGTTGTTGGAGGGCGACTGCCTCCAACTGCCCAGTAGCGTCCTTCACGAGCCCCCCTCCACAGAGCCCGATCTTGACACCGCTTGTACCAGTCATCGGCAAGTCCACTCAGCTTCACATCCTCCCGTACCGCATCAGCTCCATCTATTCTCCAGCCCGTGTCATGCCTGTTTAGCCCCTTCTATGCGGCCAAACAGAAGCTGCTTGTGCATGTGGTGGTGGGGCATGCGGGCTTCATGACCTCGGCAGCGCAGGCTTGCCTGCCAGAGGAGCTCACTAATGGGAATGTTTTCAGATCTTTCAAGGATTTGTATTTGTAAGGCCCATACATAAATACAAAAACCCCCCGAATAGCCTTACAACAGACTGTAGGGGCAAGTGCTGTTAGCGATTACCGATGAAGGCTGGCACAGCACACGAGGGGGTGGGTGGCCAGCACAACGCCCGGCCCCCTTTGTCTCACCAGTGGCGATGTTTACACACCGCACCAGGTACTCATTTGTAGCTGAGTAGACCTAGGGGAGGCCCAGGACCGGTTCATATATTCGTCACTGGTTTTGGCCTTGAGCGGGAATCGAACTCGGGCCGCCAGGTTCGTAGCACAGCGTGGTAACCGCTGCACCACCGCTCCCCATTATACATATGTAGTGACATAAGAAGGGAGGGGCTGCTGGGGGCTCTGGGTTCCCGGGCGGGTCCAGACGCTTAAGCCTCTGGGCGCCAGGCGCTGGGTTCCCAGGGGGTCCAGACACTTAAGCCTCTGGGCGCCAGGCATTGGGTTCACAGGGGGTCCAGACGCTTAAGCCTCTGGGCGCCGCCAACGGGGGGGGGGGGGGCTGTGTGTGCTCTGTGGGATGTCTGGTGGCACACACGGCCCCACCCCTCGTTGGACCAGGCATAAAAGGAGAGCTCCCTGGACGATCGGGGCCCAGTTGTAACTCAAGACCCAAGACCCACGACCAGCCATCTGAAGACCCTGGGATGCTGTGAGAGCGAGTGGTGGGACTATGGAACTCCCGACTCTACGACCTTGTGAGGGCGATTTCCAGAGCGTAGCCAGAGTAGAGTATCTAGGCTGTGTAGCTAGGCTGTGTACCTAGGCTGTAACAGAGTATCAGGACTGTTGGAGAGTTGGACTGTTGGAGTGTTGTATTGTAATAAAGAAGTTACCTCTACAAGTGTCTCCGGAACCCGTTACATTTGGCATCAGAAGTGGCTATGGAGACAAGAAGTAAGCCACGTACCTTCAGTCCTGACGGCGATGAAGAGGAGCAAGCAGCGATGGGGCGGCCAACGCCGGCCGACAGCGACGCTGCACCGCCGGCTGAGCAGCAGTCTGCTCCGTCGACCGTCCCCTCTCCAGCGTCGGGAGCAGAGATGGAGGAGGCGCTGCTTCGCCTCGCGGAGCTGCTCTGCGCCACCGCCTCCCTCCTGGGCGAGATGCGGTGCTCGCGGCCGATGGCGGGAGGGAGAGAGGAGGCGCGGCGCTCGCCCGAGCCCGCCGCCGCCAATTCCGCCACCGGCGTTCCCCCCACGGATGTGGGAGATGCTTCCGGGTGTGCCATCACTTCCACCGGAGGAGCAATGACCGCTGGGAGCGACGTCACTTCCGGACCCAGCGTCGGCCAACCAAACCACGCCGCGTCATCAGCGCTGCGTCCCTCACCGCCAGGTGACAGCTGTTTGCAACCTAGCAACGCCGCGTCATCAGCGCTGCGACCTTCACTGCCGGACGACAGCTGGCTTCAACCTGGCATACCGCGTCATCAGCGCTGCGACCGAACAGTGAGGGCGCCATTCTTACTGTAACCAGCGCTGGGGCCAGCACAAGGACCGACACGCTGGTCGCCGCCTTTGCTGCTCTGGCCAAAGGTTGGAGGTCGGGAGACCAGGCCCCTGACACTTCGTACATTTACGCACTCCGGATTAATGATTTTTTTGTTGATATTTTCTTCGTTGTCGTCAGGGAGTCGTGACTGTTGTTGGGTAAACTGTGTGGAGCTTCGCTCGTGAGTGTTGTCAATGTGTGTGCGAAACTTTGCTTGTGATTGTTAACAATGTATGGTTTGTATTGAGCTTTGTTCGTGATTGTTAATGTATAGCTTGTGCTGTCATTGTTAACGATGTATATACTGTATGGGGCATTTATCTTGAGATGGTGACATGCTGCCAAGGATTTGGAATTGTCATACTGGCTCTCAAATATCTTGGGGTGCAGATCCTGACCAGGATGGCCCAGCGGGTGTTGCGTGTCTAACACGAGAGTTGTGGTCCCGTCATGCTATGGCTGACGGCTTGACCTGACAGCCCGGAGATAGAGACACTCCGTGGCATGTCTAGCCTAGTGGGCTGTGTGCTCACATGGCTCAGAGAGTGTGGTCCCATCATGCTATGGCTGACGGCTTGACCTGACGGCCCGGAGGTTGAGACCCTCCGTGGCATGTTTAGCCTAGTGGGCTGTGCGCTCACAGGGCTCGGAGAGTGTGGTCCTGTCATGGAATAGCTGACGGCTTGACCTGACGGCCCGGAGGTTGAGACCCTCCGTGGTGCGTCTGGAGCAGTAGGCTCGCCCTGACGGCCCGGAGATTGAAACACTCCGAGGCGCGTCGAAACAGTGGACTGGAGATTCGTGGTGTTCAGGTGTAGTTGTCCCGTTACGTTGGGACTGTATCCCTCAGTTGTTAGGGTGCATGTTGTGCAGGGAGTGAACGATGGGTCGTCTCAGATCGGTCGTTACAGCTCAGCTATATGCTGCGATGCGAGTCTTGGAGAGAGATTGGGTCTCAGATCGGTTGGTACAGCTATATGCTGCGATGCGAGTCTTGGAGAGAGATTGGGTCTCAGCTCGGTCGGTACAGCTATATGCTGCGATGCGAGTCTTGGAGAGAGATTGGGTCTCAGATCGGTCGGTACAGCTATATGCTGCGATGCGAGTCTTGGAGAGAGATTGGGTCTCAGATCGGTCGGTACAGCTATATGCTGCGATGCGAGTCTTGGAGAGAGACTGGGTTGAAGTCCCCCCCGATATGGCCGACATGCGCGGTTTTAGGATGGAGACGCCACGTTGGAAAGGCGGGGGGTGCAAACGGTTGACATGTAATGTCGGTGGTGGTCCTCATTGAGGGCTGCTGGGACGCAAGCACGGGATGCCTTGGAGATTCGGTTCGCGCGTGCGGCCACCATTTATGGACAGGAGCAGGCAGATTTATTTTGGTTGTGTCATGTAAATGTTATATATATATTGAAAAATGTAGATACTGGAGCAGCCCTGAAGTGCGACTTCTTTGCCCAGTACATGGGTCGGCCCTGAAGTACGACTTCTCGACCCGGGACGTAGACAGACGTCTGGATAAGTGTGTGTAGAGGGATGCTCGACATGTTGGTCTTCGCCTTCTCTCCACCTGACGGATGGGAGGCTGGCAGAGTGGTGTGGATCCCTGCCATTCATGCGGTGGTTGTGTGATTTCGGTTCGATTACCGAGGAGGGCTAGGTGTGCCGCGGGTCGTTTGTTCACGTCATTGCTTCACCTTTTTGTTGATTGATGCTTGTATATAGTGTAAAGTTGTACAGGTTGGTTATGGTATTTCTGGTTGCTTTCTTGTTCCTTTTCTTTTCCTGTTGAGGCTCGCGTATTTTTTTTTCTCTCTCTCCCTTTCGTTAATTTAAACTTTCTAATTATTGACAGCCGGGACGGCTGGAGGCTACGTAGAGGGGGGTAATGTAGTGACATAAGAAGGGAGGGGCTGCTGGGGGCTCTGGGTTCCCGGGCAGGTCCAGACGCTTAAGCCTCTGGGCGCCAGGCGCTGGGTTCCCAGGGGGTCCAGACGCTTAAGCCTCTGGGCGCCAGGCGTTGGGTTCCCAGGGGGTCCAGACGCTTAAGCCTCTGGGTGCCGCCAACGGGGGGGGGGGGGGGCTGTGTGTTCTCTGTGGGATGTCTGGTGGCGCACACGGCCCCACCCCTCGTTGGACCAGGCATAAAAGGAGAGCTCCCTGGACGATCGGGGCCCAGTTGTAACTCAAGACCCAAGACCCACGACCAGCCATCTGAAGACCCTGGGACGCTGTGAGAGCGAGTGGTGGGACTCTGGAACTCCCGACTCTACGACCTTGTGAGGGCGAGTTCCGGAGCGTAGCCAGAGTAGAGTATCTAGGCTGTGTAGCTAGGCCGTGTACCTAGGCTGTAACAGAGTATCAGGACTGCTGGAGAGTTGGACTGTTGGAGTGTTGTATTGTAATAAAGAAGTTACCTCTACAAGTGTCTCCGGAACCCGTTACACATACACACAGACACGTGCACACACGGTGTCACTCACTGCCGGCTACCTTGCGCTTCAGCCCAGCTCGGAGCACGGGGACCTGCACTTCTCTCTGAGCTACAACGCCTACCTGAGCCGCCTCACCGTGGTCGTGCTCCGGGCCAAAGGTCTGCGCTTCCACGGGGACAGCTCGGAGCTCGGTGTGTCCCGTCAGCATCATGAGCAGTAGAAAAAAAATCATCATCATCATCGGCAAAATCATCAACAGCAAAATCGTTTGGCATCGGCAGCACAATCATCATGATCCACAAAATTGTAATCGGCAAAATTGTCATCGGCAGCAAAATCACCATCGGCAAAATCATCAGCAGAAAAATCATCATCAACAAAATCATTCCGCTGCTGCTACTGCTGCACGTTCGTAGCCATCCACACTGATTGCAAACTAAACAATTGTTTTTTATTTTACCAGGTAAGAACCACTGTGCGAGAGAGATATTTTTTTTAGAAGCGACCTGGATAACACATATGATAGCTCAACGAAGTGGCTTATCGTCACGTGGAAAATTTAAAGCAGCCAAATATTCCCAAACGAATGTAAATTCTGAATGTGAACGGAAAAAAACCTGGAGGACCCGGCCAAAAATCCACGCGACCACGGGGAGAGAGACACTGCACAATCCAAATATGCAGCAGACGTCAGGGTAGGGATCGAACCCACGACCTCCTGCATACCAGACAAGGTAGTTAACATCTCCTAGCCACCACGGCACCTAAAGGCCTCGCCTCGCCTCTCTCGCCCGGCTCTCGAGCGAAACTGATCTTGGCAGCATCCCGCACAGCCGCGCCGCGGTCACGTGAATGATCCCACGCATTGCCAATCTGCACAACAGAACGATAACAATCTACCTCTCTGTTACCATCTCCACCATCAACAGCAAACTTCATTCCCCCGCACCTCCGATCGGCGTGGTTGGCTACGTACACTGCGAAATAAGTTCAACATTCATCATCATAAGTAACCATCATCACTGACCTATATCAGGACTCGGGGTCCCTTTTCCTCACCGAGTACCGATTAGGATTTCCAAACACGGACGAAGCGCACCGTTTGGCCATCCAGAGGTACGTCACTCACCATGACCGATGATATCGAAACGTATGACCGCGTGAGAGACGCCATCAGCTTGGAGAATGTGCGCATACATCAGAGTGGTCGATCGCGACTGCTGCCGATTGATGATGACGACGATGACGACGGCGACGACGATGATGACGGCGATTTCCACGTGCGGACAGAGGTGCACGTGCGGGCGACGCTGCTCAACCAGAACCAGCGCGTGCGCGACAAGGGCACGGGGCGCGCGCGCGGCTCCCCGAGCCCCCTCTACAATGAGACGCTCAGCTTTCCCCTGCCGCCCTCCAACCTCGACTCCTCGAGCCTGAGCCTCTGCGTGCTGCACACGGGCACCGGCGCGGGAGACGGAGGTGAGAGCTTCGCTCCATCTCCCACCCGAGTGGTTGCCAGTGACAAAAGAGAAAGACCCCCCCCATCCCCGTGTAGCATTAACAGACTGTTGGTGCTGTTAGCGAGTAGCACCTATGAAGGCCGGCACGGCACACGAGGGGGTGGGTGGCCAGCACCGCACCGCACCAGCCACTCATTTGAGTTCAACTCGCGGAGGCCCAGAACCGGTTCAAATAATCGTCGTGTTGGCGGTGAGCGGGAATCGAACTCGGTTTGTAGGGCAGCGCGCAAACACAACAGCCATCGTTTTCCAGTAGATAGCTAGTGGTGACGTCACCACGGTGCTTGTGCCAGGCTAGATACACCCTGAGGTCACGTGAAGTGTCGAAGGCTCGCTGCTGGCAGGAGGCCACGACACAGACCCAGGTGCTGTGAGTTTGACAGACATCAAAGACAAAGATCCCCCGTGTAGCCTTAACAGACTGCTGGAGCAAATGCTGTTAGCGAGTAGCACCTATGAAGGCCGGCACGGTACACGAGGGGGTGGATGATAAGCACCACGCCTGGACCGCCTTTGTTTCCCCAGTGGCGATGTTTAAATGCGGCAGCAGGTACTCATTAAAAAAAAAGTTCGGTAAAATTGTGGTAATGCCGCTGTTGTCTCGCTCGCAGGTGAACTGACTCTGGGCCGCGTGGTGGTGGGGCCCTTCATGTACGCGCGGGGACGGGGCCTGGAGCACTGGGAGGAGATGATCGCCAAGCCCAAGGAGATGGTCAAGAGGTGGCACGCGCTCAGCCCCGACTCCTAGCGCCGCCCCGTCGCCGAGTTGACAAAGCAGCAGCAGCAGCAGCGGCGGCAGCAGCAGCGGCGGCAGCAGTGGCAGCAGCAGCAGGGGCAGCAGGGGCAGCAGTGGCACCAGCAGTAGCGGCAGCAGTGGCAGCAGCAGCAGCAGCGGCAGCAGTGGCAGCAGCAGCAGCAGTGGCAGCAGCAGCAGCGGCAGCAGCAGCAGCAGCAGCAGGGGCAGCAGGGGCACCAGCAGTAGCGGCAGCAGCGGCGGCAGCGCCAACCGTGAGGAACGGCACCCACTCGCGAAACCGACTGCAAGACAATCGTCGGTGGCGTGAAAGCGATCCGTGGACACCACCCACACCATCACCTGCACCGGAACTCACGAACCCCGCCGCTCCCCCCACCCCCCATAGGCAAGACACGAGCCATCACGGTGATGACAATCAGCGGACTGCCCCCAGGTCCTCGTGGCACTGCCAACCACCCCCACCCGGGTGGTGCCGGGTGGCATCCGCCCTCATGCAAGGAATGGAATGGTGACCCCCCCTACTCCCCACCTTGTCTCCCCCCCACCCTGTCCCTCCCCCCCCACCTCTCTTCTCTTTGTAGCCCGGCGCCTGGGCCTCCTCAGTGCAGTTGCACCGCCTGCGCACTCGATAGCCACGCCGCTGAAAACGATCTCAGACGTCAATTTTGGTGTTGCCCTCCTTTGATTTTATCAGCCCCTCCTCCCCCCCACAAAAAAACCGGGATGTTTCGTAAATAATTTTTCAAATCGAGTGTGGCCCCTGGTCACGCCCGAGAAGGCCACGCTGGGTCTGCCGTTTGCACGCCGCGTGGGGGTCACGGCTGCCGCGTGGGGGTCACGGCTGCCGCGTGGGGGTCACGGCTGCCGCGTGGGGGTCACGGCTGCCGCGTGGGGGTCACGGCTGCCGCGTGGGGGTCACGGCTGCCGCGTGGGGGTCACGGCTGCCGCGTGGGGGTCACGGCTGCCGCGTGGGGGTCACGGCTGCCGCGTGGGGGTCACGGCTGCCGCGTGGGGGTCACGGCTGCCGCGTGGGGGTCACGGCTGCCGCGTGGGGGTCACGGCTGCCGCGTGGGAGTCACGGCTGCCGCGTGGGGGTCATGGCTGCCGCGTGGTGTAGCGCGACGCTCGGTCCAAGGCCGAAGCAGCAGGGACTTCTTCACTAATTCCGGCAGATCGCCCGAGGAAGCCGGTTGTTGTCATCGTCAGCGAAACGTCACAGTACTCGGATTGCGAACGCTGTGGGTTGTACTCTCCCAACACACCGGTGTGCTGAAGTAGTAATGTGATTGGCACGTTTCGTTTACCTGACAAGCCTTACTGATTGGCTGTGTCGGGTGGTGGTGGGTTGACGACACATTTACGCGATCTAACGCAAAAAAAAACCCTTTATTACGGTGCGATGGTGTTTAGAATGAGCATCATAATGAGGCACGGACGGGTTCCTCGATGACAAACGTGATGCGTGTGACGCACAATCGTTGCCATTATCGTGATTACTCCAAATCCTGACCTCAAATCTCTCCCCTCCCTCCCCGTGTCCCCCCATGTGTGGTTATGGCGCTCTCATTAACACGTCCAATAGGGTGGGTCCCAATAAGGTGGTCCAATAGGGTGGGTCCTAATAGGGTGGTCCAATAGGGTTGTCCAATCGGGTGGTCCAATAAGATGGGTCCCAATAGGGACTGCGTTGTGAGTGATGTATTGTAACTCCACTGCGTTGTGAGTGATGTATGAACGCGTGCTTTTCCAGTGGCGCACACCTCGAACGTCCCGTCGTGTTTCGCGAACTTCATTGTGCTCGACTTTATTGTACACGACATCATACTGTGAATAAAAGCAACGTGAGAAAAAAATAATTAAAGTTTAAAGAAACTGATTTTGGCGTGGTCGAGACTAATGATGGAGCGACAGGCAAAGGATGGGAAACTCGCCCGTGAAGAGGAGCGATGGTAGTTAACATCTCGCCACGGTGGCTAGATGTTAACTACCTCGCCTGGTATACAGGAGGTCGTGGGTTTGATCCCGACCTTGACGCCTGCTGTATGTTTGAAGTTTGTGTGTCTTTTTCCCCGTGTTCACGTGGATTTTTCTCAGGGTTCTCCGCTTTTTTCCCTTCACATTTAGAATAAAAATCACGCGTTTAGAGTATCTGGCTGCTACTCTAAATTTCCACGTGATGATAAAGCCACTTTGTTGAGCGATCATTTGTGGCCTGGTGGCTCAGTGGGAGAGCAGATTTCACGCGCGCTCAGATTGATAAAGCGCCGGGCGGCCACGCGAGCGACAGAGTGTGTAGGGTGTCACTAACGCGCGGATTATTGCTCGGGCTCTGTGGCTGCTCAGCCGCGAGACTGAACCCAGACCCCTGCCTGCAGATGAGATGCGCGAAGTGACGAATTGTTCGATATAGAAATAAAAATAAATATGACGACGAAAAATCAATGTAGCGGCAGTGTTGTGCACAATCCGACAAATTTTGTTGCTTTTGGAGGATGGGGGTTAAGGTGAACACACATTTTGCGTAGTTTATAATTACCTGAGAATTTGATCCAAATGTCGTGGTTGCATTTGTTATGAGTCCTGCCAAATGCGTGAAAAAATAATCACAAAACGACAAATTACAGGGAACAACTCCGATGCCGATTACCGAAATTAAAATTAAGTGGTTTTTGTGTCGCAGGGCAATGCGATCGGTTTTAATCTGTTCTCAATCTTAACCTCGCACGAGGCTAACACGGTAAACTCACCGCCGTTGAGTAGTGCAAGTCTGGTCGAAAGCCTCCCTAAAACTGTGGCACTGACAGGGTTTGTCTGACCATACTTCACCAAATTTGTCATCGCGAGTCACCGCTAATGTCAGCAGTGGACGGGACCTCAAAACCCACCCAGCGTGCGGGTTTCATAGCGCAGTGCGCTAACCACTGCACCACCGCTCCGAGGGGTCGCGTGTGTCGCTTGTGGAATTAAGTCACAAGGGGTGTCTGGAGAAAAACCCAGCCGCACACAGGGGCGGACACTCCGCACCTCAACGCTCAGACCGGTTCGAAACTTTGACTGCAACGTCACCCATAACGGCACCGCCGTATCGCACGAGCTCAAAATTCACCGTCATCGCCATCGACGGGTTAGGACTTGCGTCTCGTGAGAGCCATTTACCAAGCCACATCAACAAAAATCTACCAAGCCAAATCAACAAAAATCTACCAAGCCAAATCAACAAAAATCTACCAAGCCAAATCAACAAAAATCTACCAAGCCAAATCAACAAAAATCGACCAAGCCAATTCAACAAAAATCTACCAAGCCAAATCAACAAAAATCTACCAAGCCAAATCACCAAAGGTCGCTCGGTTAAAATCACGCGCCACGGCCGTCGCACCCTCGGAGCGAGCCCGCCGCTCTGGACCAATGCGATTCTTCGTTCGGCTCGGCCAAGGGCCGACGATTTCCCGCGTCGGTGAGTCTGCGTGGAATGTTGCAGACGGGAAAATGCCAAACGTGGTTAGGGGGGGTTCTCTCGCTCTCTCTGCTTGGTGTAAACAAAGCCGCCTGATTTAATCTCGGGGGGGGGGGGGAGAGCGTTGCGTTACACCACTTCCAGGGAAATTGTTAGCTGGAAATCGAATTGCGCAGTGAGACGAGTTGCCAATATAGTGGATGTAGCCGGGTCAGGGAGAGCCACTCCAAACACACAACGGAGATTATCAGAAATTAATTTAGCACCTTCGCACGGACCAGCTCATCTTTCGTGCCTCGGAGACTCTGAGCGAGATGAGAGAGAGAGAAAAACAGTTATAACACGGCACGCAACCAACTTCAATGTGTCGCAGAGACAGCGCGTGACTAACGAGGCCGCGGTCTGGGGGAAGCGGTCGGAAGCAGCGCGTCACTCGCACCATGAACCCCGGCGACCTGGGTTCCCATCCCAGTCACGATGTGAACATATCGGCTGCAAGCGATCTATTGAGCCGACCTCCTAGCAATGCCCGTGCCAAACCCGCACAAGATCGCCGTGGTCAACGATGGGCCGAACAGCCCCCATGACCAAAAAGGAAATGCGGAGGCCTTCATCCGGCGGAGGATTGACAAAGGGCCGTATGCTAGCACTGGTGAAGCCACACAAGGCGGACAAGTTAGCTCAGTCCACAGAAGCCGATAATTTGCTGTCCACGGTTAACGAAGAGGAGACCACCCAGAGATCGGTACTCTGGACACAAAGCACGAGGAAGACCAATGGCATTGCATACAAGAGTTGCGAAGCGTTGAGAAGCTCATCGTACTGGGGCCACGATCCTTGAAGAACAGTGGTTGACGATGTCCCATCCAGACGCTCTGGGCATCCTGCGCACAGACCAAGTATGCGATGGATGTCGATAACAAAGACAAAGATCCTCCCCCATGTAGTCTTTAACAGACTGTTGGGGCAAGTGCTGTTCACGAGCACATATGCAGGCCTGCACGGCACACGAGGGGGTGGGTGGCCAGTACCACGCCCGACCGCTTTTGTCTCCCCAGTGGCGATGTTTACACACCGCACCAGGTACTCATTTGAGGCTGAGTCGACCGAAGATTATAATTGTCGCCGGTGTTGGCCGTGAGCCGGAATCAAACTCAAGTTTCCAGGTCATAGCGCAGTGCACTAACCGCCACCGCTCCCCATCCAGACAATCTCTGATGATGTCACGCACACACACGCACGCACACGGACACACGCGAGATTTCTATCAATTGTAATCGGCGCGCTCTACATCGCGTGGGCCGCGTTTGGGGTGGGGGGGAGCATGCAGCAGCTTGGTCTGCATTGCAGCGGGGAGGATTGGTAAACATCATTCTTGTCAGCTGCCCCCCTCCCCTCCGAATACTGACAGTCCCTTGCCCCCCGCCAGCCATTCATGCTGTTGACTCCCTGCCCCTGTTCAAGTTGAGGCTCGAGAGAGGCCTTTTATGTCCTGTGACAGACCGCCTCTCAGTGCTGCCAGTGAAGAATTAAACAGTGTGTGGCCTGGACTCCGATTAGCACGGTCGGCTACGTACGGTGCAAGAAAAGTTCAACACGCATGCATACGTACTCACTTCACATCGACACGCATCTGTTAACATGAAAATTGCCATGCGTCTGCGTGACGTCTGGGGGGGGGGGGGGCTTTTGGAGGGGGGGGGGAGTGGGGGACGATCAATGGACATCCGCGTCCGAGTCGCTACCGCACTCCCCGCTCGTTGTCGGCGCTCGCATCGACCGGCGGATAAACCCTCTTGTGTCACAGCGTCAACGAGGCCCTCGAGTGGTCGGAAACATCCCCCCTGCCCCCACACTTCCCCTCTGGCCACAGCCGCTAAAGGCCTCTCCAACAACCGTGGCAGCCCCCGCGGCACGACGCTCCGCCGACGCAGACTGCGGGCCGCCGCTGTTTAGCGAAACTCTTTGGTTGACGGCTGATCGCGTGGAAGTATTGGCGCGCTCGTTTTCGGCGCAGCTTCTTTTTTGACAATAATTTATATATCCAGGAGAGAAACACAAGGACGCTTTTTTTCACGAGGGTCCTGCCACATTGGGTTTCTTTTTATTTCAAGGATGTTATCGGCCAATTAACGATGAGCGTTTGTTAAACACATGGGTGGAAACCGGAGCACCCTTTGAACACCCACACGTGGGGGGGGGGGGGGGGGGGGTAACGCACTATCCATCGTACAGATGGAAACAGATGGAGATCAGTTCCACACTCGCTGTGCCGCCTTCTCCTTGGCGAGCCAGGAGAAGGCACCTCCTCGACGCCCACAGGAAGGGAGCTTCACAAGCAATCTGTGGCGGTCCACCAACCCTCGCTGCGGCCCCCACAGTGCTGGGTTGCAGGCAGCCAGCCACGTGCAGCAGAGCCAACGTGGTGCAGGATTGAGTCATCATTAATTCATTCGTCATTTGCATGCTAATTCATACGTTGTGGCTGTTCGGGCCGAGAACGCTCGGGGTTCATTTGAGGGTCCTGGCAATTACAAGACGTGAAGGCCACGTGCTTAAATAAAAAAAATTTCGTAAAATGTCACTTTGGATATTAAGAAATAGCCTCATTTTCAAGATGTTAAAATTTAATTCGCAATGGTGATAATCTTCACCCTAGAGAATGTCCTGGCCTAAACTCATCCGTGGCCCTTTTGAACAAAGTCTCCATTTTTATCTTTTCGATCCTCGACATCGTCCCGCGATGAAAGATTCCCACGAGAGAGAGACGGGAAGTCTTCGGCAGCGGTGCCCTGCTGTGGCTGGAGGAGCTCACGGCTGGAGGAGCGTGGTGTCGAGCGAGAGCTGCAGCAGCGTGAGGGAGCGACGTGTTGCCACGTCGTTCTCATCGCACTCGGACAGCGACGCCAGCAGCAGCCGGAAGCGCTCGGTGCCGCGAACCAGCGCCGAGCAGAGGTCAGCCACGAGGTCAGAGAACGTCAACCCGTAGCCTAAATGCAGAGCACGCAAGCACGCTTACAAGCATGCAGGCATATGCATGCACAAATACAATTATCCCCCCGTAAAGCCTCAACAGTCCTTTGAGGCAAGTGCTGTTAGCGAGAAGCACTTATGAAGGTCGGCACGACACACGACGGGGTGAGTGGCCAACACCACAAGCGACCGCCTTTGTTTCCCCACTGGTAATATTTACACTCTGCAACAGGTACTCATTTAAGGCTGGGTCGACCTAAGGTAGGTTCAGGACCACTTCAGATAATCGTTGCTGGTGTTGGCCGTGAGTGTAAATTGAGCTCGGGTCGCTGGGTTCATAGCGCAGCACGCTTCCCGCGACGCCACTGCTCCCCACACACATGAATACATGTACACACACACACGTGTACACACAAACTATTGCACGCATACCTACACACAAGTACACACACACACCTACACACTTATTGTATGCTCCAAAGGGTGTCGTCCAGTACTCACTTGCAGTCTAGAGGTGGAAATTCCCACATTTCCTTTCGGGGAACCAGTCTAATCATAATATCCCTAGAGCTCAACTTTAATCATTATGACCAGGCAGGAATAAAAAAAAATTACCTTTCAGCGTTTGTGCATCATCATTATCATCATCAGCCGTGATTCATCCACTGCTGGATGAAGGCCTCGAAGAGCCTTCGGCCATCTCTCACGGTTTCACCAAGCTCCCTTCCGACCTTTCCAAAAACCAAGACGCTGCTGCCTTAAATGCCCGAAAGAGGACGGGCCATTTCGGGGAATGTTGGGATGAAAAACCGGGCACCTGGGAAAGCCCGTCCACCGCCCCCCCCCCCCCCGAGCACCTGCAGGTCTGTGCAGCCAGCTGGGGGGGATGTTGAGAAGCAGCTTTTCCACGGTACGAGGGGACACACGCACCTCCACGCGCTCCACTCCGTCGGTCACGCACAGCACCGCCGGCCTGTCGAGGGCGACATGAGGGGTTACAGCTTGAACGCGCAGCACCGCGCGGTTGTCTTTGGGGGAGGGGGGTTCGTTGGCAGGGTCATTGCCGTTCTGGGCTCAGGTATTTAAGACCCTTCTAAGGTTTACGAATGGACCCCATGCACGTGCTGTATTCTTCTCCCTTGTCTCCGAGATTATAGCTCAGAAGCTCCAGTGCTGAGATTGGGCCTAAATACAAAAACCTATCTTTTTTTGAGAATGGCCTTAAATTATGAATTTAATCACTTTCTCTCTCGTCACTTTCTCTCATCACTTCACTTCCCTTTCTCTCTCAGTCGATGCAGTAGTCGTGTAGAGTTTCAAATGCGATTCGCGGGTAGCACCGGGAGATCGAATCGGATCGAGCTGGTCACCCCTGGATGGAAAGTCCTGGACTTCTAGGCATTCAAGGAGAGAGACGGAGTGAGCAATGTTTTGGTAAAACAATGTTTCCCCCACTATTCGTATAGCCTTAGCAGACTGTTGGGGCAAGTGCTGTTAGCGAGCGCCTATGAAGGCCGGTACGGCACACGAGGGGGGTGGGTGGCCAACACCACGCCCGGCCGAATTTGTCTCCCTGGCATCGACGTTTTTACACATCGCTCCAGGTACTCATTTCAGGCTGAGTCAACCTAGGGGACGCCAAGGACCGGTTCAGATAATCGTCAGTGGTGTTGGCCGTGAGCGGGAATGGAAACGCGGGGTCGCTGGGTTCATAGCGCAGCGTCCTAATCGCTACGCTGCTACCGCTCCCCACACACATACAAAAGACAAAGATCCCCCGTATAGCCTGAACAGACTGTAGGGGCAAGTGCTGTTAGCGAGCACCTATGAAGGCCGGAACGGTACACGAGGGGGTGGGTGGCCAGCACCACGCCCGACCGCCTTTGTCTCCCTAGTGGCGATGTTTACACACCGCACCAGGTACTCATTTAAGGCTGAGTCGACCTAGGGGAGGCCCAGGACCGGTTCAGATAATCGTCACTGGTGTTAGCCGTGAGCGGGAATCGAACCCGGGTCGCCAGGTTCATAGCGCAGCGCGCTAACCGCTACACTACCGCTCCCCATACACACACGTACACACGCACATACACGTACGCACGCGCTCAAGCGTCGCTTGAGCAACGGAGCCACCGAGTTGGGTACGGCTCATCTCCCGTTACCGCGCGGAATCACCGCGCGAGATAAACGATGGCCTTTCGTGACATAAGCAGTAATGACGCAGAAATGAGAAACAGATGGCAAGTAATTAGGTTAACATCGACGGAGGTTTCGAATGACAGCGGAATGGAACGGGAAAACGAGACGGGGTAAAGGCTTGGATTGTAAAGGCAGCTCTGACCACGTGGTGTATGTTTTTGATTGTTATTATTTACAATTTCACTGACGACTGTCGGAAGGGCCAGGTTCTTCTAATCACATCAGCGTCACCCCACTGGATTCCCCGCCTGGGAGAACTGAACGATGAAAGCCGTGAGATGACGGCGCCACCTCGTGGCGACTGCCCAACCCTGATGTCTGTGCGGAGCGCATGTTGCTTGTTTATTTATTTCGAACTTCTTTCGCACCGTCCGTAGCCAACCGTGCTAATCGAAGGTGCGGGGGAAGGACAACAAACCAAACACAAAATCCAGTTAAAAAGAAATTAGTTTTCAATCTGACCGAACCAGGGTCAGATTGAAAACTAAACCCCAGTGTAGACCCTTGGGAAGTTGTGATGTGACAGATTTGTCCAGCGCTTATTGTGGCAAGGTGAAAAGTCCCGACCCACAGACGTCCGTGCTGTCAACTCCCTGCCCATGTTGAAGCCCACTCTCAAGACCTTTAGTCTTTTCTCTCAGCAAAAAACGAATGGGACTGTGTCCGTACAGCATATTGAGATACGGTGGCATTTGGACAATGTATACATCCACGTTGTAATTGTATTGCGAGGTCGGTGGACTGATTATACGGAGCCATTTAAAGTGTAGGTGGCAACGATGGCTGAGGTTCGAGTTTAAATTTGTTTAACTCGGTGAGAACTCAAAACGACCAGCATAGTCTCATTTGCAAGAATAACCTGGGGGGCATTAGTATGCTAGGATATGTTGATGATTGCTGGGGGTGTATGGTCCCAATCGAGTAATCTGCTGGGTGCAATTGTAGAATTCGACCAATTTGGATTCGTGACTGCCAGCACGGTGGACTCGCGAATGACGTCAGGGGAGGCTTAGGGTTCGCTCTGTGAAGCAGACGGTGGGGCGCGGTTTTATCGCCACGCTAATAACACCTGCGGCAAATAACCCCGGAACTGTGAGCCTCTGCGACAAGTGGGGGAGGCGCTCGCTACCCGCTGAGCCGCCGCAGCCGCCTTAACGATTGGCGGTGGGAAACGCGACAGCTTGTGCAAACGGCGCACCAGGCAGACTGCCTTGGCTGGCGATCGTATCGCCGATTACGATCGCTCGGAAATACAGCACTATGTTGCGTTACCGAAAACTATTCACGATTAACTCAATATCTACGTTACCCACTTTCTATACCACTAGATTATACTATTTTTTTTACCCGGTGAGGCCCAGTGAGGTGTATATAGAGCTCTTTTCCAGAAGCGACCTGGCCACAAATGATAGGCTCAACGAAGTGGCTTATCATGTGGATATTTATACCAGCCAAATACTCTAAACGCGACTACACGTGGATTTTTCGGGATTGAACCCACGATCTCCTGTATACCAAGTGAGGAAATTAACATCTCGCCACCGCTGCGTCAATGTATCTATCGCACGTTGACCGTTCCTCTCCACGTAACCTCTGGTGTTCACGAGTAGAATGGGCAAATGGTAACCGATCAACTACGCAAATGCACTCCATCGACACAAACGGCTAACGTTTTGGTGGTGCGGTCTGACCGAGTGCCATTAGGGCATAGCGCATACCAATCCCTAGCAGACTCGACCACGGCAGTATTCCATTCATTAACCACGAAGGGATGATTGGTTGAGTACTAAAATGAGTACCACTCTATGAGCAGTCCAGTCGTCATCCAACGGAAACTGGCTTCTGCCACAAACGTGCGGAATTTGCTCGGCTTTTGCTCGAACGCTTTCACTAACGCGGCTTTTCCACCCGTCGAAGCGCAACGGACAAAAACCGTTTCGCCCCGACCGCATGCCTCCCCCCGAACGTCGCCGTTGGGTTTTCCCACGCACGGGTAGAAGAGGCGCGTCGCCCGCGGCGCGCAGGGCAGGCACGGCGCCACGACGCCGCGGGCGTCCTCCCGCAGCTCGCGCCCGCATCCCGCGCAGCCCCGCAGCAGCAGGCCCGGCAGCGCCGTAGCCACGGCGACGAGCGGCGTCGTCGCGTCGACGCGGAGAGCGCGGGGGCCGCCGTCTCGCGGCCGCTCCGCCTGACCCTCGGGCTGCCGTCCGCGTGGCGGGCGGTCGGTGCGGAGGAAGAGCAGGGACGCGACGCGCGCCGTCACCTCCACGCGGCCTGGGACACGGCAAACGACGGCGACAGCGCAGGGTCACCGAGCCGCAACGTCCTTGCATGGGAGCTAGATTCGAACGCCGCCGCAAGTTGTTTTTCTCCCCGCTGCTTGGGATGTCAGCGTCACGTTGTTGTGAGATTGTGCGGGGGGAGGGGAGGTGGGGGGTGGTGGGATTTCATTTGGAAAAGTTCACCAGAAGGCAACGTGTTGGATTATAATTCTGAGGTTATTTTCAGCAGTGTGCTATCAAATTGAGATGAAGCATCGTTTTTGCCCGCTCCACCACAGTGTTCCTCGGACAGTAATCAAACCAAAACGTGACAATTATCAGAGCTGGAAGAAGCCAAATTAAGAAAAAGGCCCAATTTAAATTAATGTTTTATCGTGCGTAATTGTTGCCCAGGCTGAGACCATTAAATCTCTCTAAATTGCGACCTTGCTATAATTCCGGGAGGCTGAACCACGCCAGATTTAAACCCAGGATCCCAGCCGTGTCGGCTCAGTGCCCTGGTGCGACATATTCACTTGCCGAGCCACACAGCATCAGAAACTTTATTCATACTGGAGGAATCCGATTAGCTACAAAGCTCGTTTTCACAGATGTTCACGTCCAATGGCAACTTTTTAGTTTCTGAGCGCAAACTCACATCACCGCCGCTCCTGGCCTCGGGGAGCCACAATCACCAATGTCACGAGAGTCACGCTACTGCCGGGCGGGGCGGGAGCAGCACGTGTGCCACCACCCGGCCCGCTGACCAAACAGCGGAGAGGACCCTTCACCGCCGCCCATCCCGGAGGCGTCCGTTCCTCGCTGGTTCGATGAAGATAATCCTCCCACGCGCGGGGCCGGCGGAGAGAGCAAAGGCAACTCGATGGGGATTAGAAACCAAAGCGTCTCCGGTCCCAAGAGAGGGTCCCAATAATCAGAGGAAGCCACGGGGCTGCATCCAGGAATCTGCAAGTTACTCCAAGGTTGGCGCGTAAGGTGCACGCCGTGAGCCCGATTTAGTTTCGCAAACCTTGGCGCGAGCGTGAAATAACGGGGTTACGTAAAACAAATATTATTGCCGCCTCGTACGCTCATGCACAAACAGGAGAGAGGGCGTGCGCACACGCAACCAGCCCGGCTAGGGCAGCCTCCCCAGCGCCGGTGGCAGATTTCCTGCCATTGTGGACGCGAGCGGCGGCCTCTCCTGACCTGCGCCACTCCGCAACTATCGCCTTGGCAAGCTGCTGGGTGGTGGGTCGTCTCTGATTCTCACGGCTTTCTTCCCTACGCTCTCATTCCGTTGTGCGTAATATTAATCAGAAAGGTAAAGGCGCCGCCCTGTAACTGCTAACTCACACCACTGCTGGCGGAAGCCCCCCCCCCACCCCGCCACCTCCTAGAGAGAGCTCAACAGAGCTCCTCTTATGAGACTAATTGGCCTACTCTTCCACGTTGGACATATGTAGACTTTGGTAAAGGTGGGAGAACCCACACTTCACTCAACCGCACACAAACCTGCTGGTCAACTAAACTGCGGTGAACCAATGTATACTGCTGGTTGGAACTTGAGTGGTGGTAACATTTTAAAAACGACGCACCCACCACACACCACACCTTCCATCGCAGTCCAGAATTTATGGAATCTCATAAGGAGCAGTATTGAGTTGAATTCATTTTAACAATTCATTTGAAATCTCCGGAGAGAGTCGAGCAGCTGTTCACAATTTAAATGCCTGGGTGCCTCTGTCTAGGATTCCATACACATGCTGAACTCACCCCCCACACACACGCACACGTGTGGACACAGACACAAAATGACAAAGATCCCCCCCCCCCGTATAGCCTTAACAAATTGTTGGGGCAAGTGCTGGTCGCGGGCACCTATTAAGGCCGGCACTGCACACAAGGGGGTGGGTGGCCAGCACCATGCCCGACCGCCTTTGTCTCTCCAGTGGCGATGTTTATAAACACTGCAGTGGCAATGTTAATACACACATGCGTGCACACACACACATGCGTGCACACACACATACACGTGCACACACAAAGACACACACACATGCACCACTGGGTTCGAGCTGTTTTGTAAAGTGACTATTTATGAAGGGAATGTTTCGGATTGGATCTTAAGCCACAAAGGGAGAGTAATAATATAATTGGTGGCTTTGCAGGAAAACACTTAAGACCTAAGATATAGAGTGAATTGTTAAGTCTGACAAAAGACCAAAAATAAGCCACAAAAGACATGCAATGCCATCCGGCTTCCCTTCCAAAGAACTAACTAAACACATATGAAATATTATTTTACTTTTCAACGCAGGTTTAGCAAAGGACCCGTGTGGCCTCCAGTGTAAATTACTTTCAGGCCAGCATCAAGAAAACTGTATTTTAAATACCAATCATCAACCTGTATTTCTCCACTCACTGGCATCACGATGACCAGGCATACAATGATTCACATCCGTGGTAATGAGATAAATCGTCACAATCAGTTCGATGCATAAATTAACACTCCTTTAATTGACGGAAAACATCTTGATATATAGGGGACTGCAGAGCTTGGGCAATTGCTGGTGCCGGCTCACCGCTCGTTTGTTGCCTACCGGCTTGTCCGGTTCCTCGGCGATTGTGAGATCCACTTTGCGAGCGAGGTTTGAGAGGTCGAGACTCTACTTCTCTGCATCTCTACGCTCTATGACGAAGGGCCAGTGCCTGAAACGTCACCTATTAGTATACATAGATGATCTCTACGTAATAATGTGCTTGTTTCCCTGTGTCTGTGACGCACCGGGATGACCTCACGCGAGATTGGGGTGAGGGGGAGGGGTTGATAACGTCATGAGATGCTGGAGTGTTCAGGAGAGGAGTATCGACGTCACGCGACACTTGGGTGAGAAGGTGATGACATCATGCGACGCGGAGAGAGCGAACGGGGGTTGTGACATCACGCGACACTGGGAAGGTGAGGGACAGGTGTGAAGACATCACGAGACACTGGGGAGGTGAGGGACAGGTGTGATGACGTCATACGAAACTGGGGAGGTGAGGGACAGGTGTGATGACGTCAAGAGACACTGGGCAGGTGAGGAGAGGGGTGATAACGTCATATGAGAGACACTGGGGAGGTGCGGGACAGGTGTGATGACGTCAAGCGACACTGTGGAGGTGAGGAGAGGGGTGATGACATCAAGAGACATGGGAGTGGTGAGGAGAGGAGGGGTGGGTTATGATCTCACACAACACTGGTGGGGTGAAGGAGATGGAGTGATGACCAGCCAAACCCTGTGTCCAGGTGGGGGGGGGGAAGGGGTGGGTGCCTAAACAGAAAGAGACGGCGCCTAGAGAACATGGGGCTGGTCCGAAGAAGGAAAGGTGCGGAGCCGAAAGAGGATGAGACGGCCTCACCAGGTAGGGGTGGGGCCTAAGAATTAAGGGGGCAGTTCATGAAGAGGAATCGGGTGGGGCATCAAGTGGAAGGAGGTGAGGCCTAAAAAGAAAGGGCCGACAGAGATTGAACTTCCCCGATAATTTCAGGTCATCGACACGTAGAATCAAATACGTGCAGCGGTCAGCGTACGTCTAGTGCCACAGATGCGGCCACAGCAGGCCGGCTAGTTTGATGATTATTAAATTCCACCCGCATTGTGGTTGTCTACGATGCTGGAGATCTGACAGCAACACTTCCCCCCACTCCGACTCGCTCGTCTGTAGAACAGTGAGCGTTGTGCATGGTGCCAATGATTTTAGCTTTTACTCCCCCACCACCTCGGAGTTTGCGGTGTCTCTCTCCTTGTGGTAGCGTGGATTTTTCTCCAGATCCTCCAGTTTCCCTCCACATGTAATAAAATGTGTTGAGTATTTGGCTGATATAAATGTCTCCATGATAGGCCACTTCGTTGGGCTATCATTTGTGGCCAGGTTGCTTCTGAAAAAGAAATTCATACCTCAGTGGGCTTTACCTGATAAGATACAAATTTCGTTTAATTTGTATATTTTTCAGCGATTTGTTTACCTTTGCTAGACTTTGCACTCATATCTTGTTTTTGTATTGTTTATTGTTGGAACGTTCTTACTTGCCCTGACTGGACATCTGTGAAAAAGAGCTTTATAGCTCATCGGATTCCTCCGGTATAAATATTCTGATTCACTCGCTCGTCTGTAGAAGAGCGAGCATTGTGCACGATGCCAAATTATTTTAGCTTTCACTCCCCCGCCGCCGTCTCCGCCCCCTGGCCAGCCTACCTGTGATGTGAGCGGCGAGCAGGCTGGCCAGGCTGGAGGGCCGGGCGACGGCTCCCTCGGGCACGAGGTCGGCGCAGAGGGCAGCTCTGGGGTCGTCGGGGAACAGGCGCTCGCACGACGAGAGCGGCGTGCTCCACAGCTCCGTCTCCGTGGCGACTGCCGGGTCCTTGCGCACCACCAAGTAGTGGAAGGCCCAGATGGTGTCTGTAGAATTAATTTAATAATAAAAAGTATTACATTATTAACATTTCATACCATTCGGATGAGCCTACGCACTTTAAAATTAACTTGCCCTGAGGGCTCTAAGAGAAACGAATTCCCTCATCTTGGCTATGTCGTGGTCTATCTCGTTCATCGCTACCGAACGTGGCGATGGAACCAGTGCTACCACTAGAGGGCGCGCGTCGCCCTGAGGAGGGGCCTTTCTCCTTTGTCGAGGGGACGACGACGTTAAGCTCAGCGGACAACTCAATAATCAAAGCCGCAGCCATTTATACAAACGTACGTCACATCAGACATGTCTGGGTATTGGCTGTGAAAATGCGGAAAGACAGTTCACATCTTCTCCCAAGCACTTGTCCCACTACGAGTGGAGGCCACTTCTGAGTCCTCTCCATATTCTCTGATCCATCGCCATCTCCAAAGAAAAATTATTTATAATAACTTGATAGGCACCGTGGCTCCCACAAGGCCATGCGGGAGGGCGTGTGGCACAGTTTGGCGCCGGCTTTCAGAGTGCAGTCGTGTCGCTGCAGTTCTCTGCGGCAAGTCCAATGTCTTTAAAAACAGTGGCGTCACGCCACTCGAAATAAAACGAACGCTGAACCGCTTGTTTGTTTCCAAGAATAAGCGGTGAACGGGATGCACCCTGCAGCTTGCAGACGTCCCGGAACGGGTTAAGTTCAAATTAAATCCCAACCCCAAGCAATCAGCGTGTTTAGGCGACACAATAAAACTCCAGGCTCGACGTAAGGGGGAACTAAGCCTGCATGCTATAAGATTTCCACGTGATAAGCCACTTTGCTGAGCTGTCGTTTTTGGCCAGGTCACTCGGTGGACTTTACCTGGTAAAATAAAAGATAGTTTAATTTTAGTTTCCTTATTTGTCGTGATTTGCTTACCTTTCCTATACTCTGGACTCCTATCGTTGTTTTGTTTTGTTCTTTGTTGTTACTTTCTGACGCCATGCCCCCTACTGGACATCTGTGAAAAAGGAGCTTCACAGCTCATTGGATTTCTCCAGGATAAATAAACATTCTGATTCTGACTATTCATCGGGAGGGGGGGGGGGAGAACGCGATCGTGGTACTAAGTTTCACCAAGGGGCGCTCTGCGGATGTGTCCGGCCCACGACGCGGCCTGCCCCGTCAGCCGGAGGGTGTACTCCACCCTGGAGGTCTGTTGGAGCCTCGCGGTGGCCACCAGTCGCTCCGTGCCGGCCTGCGCTCTTCCGTTCAGCGTGTACGGGTCCCACTCTGCGGGAGAGAGGGAGGCGGGGGAGGAGGGGGTAGGAAACGAGAAACATTTGCTACTTTGATGACTCATTTCCTCTGAACCGTATTGTCTGAGCAGCGTATCACTGCAGCTGTTGGATGCAACATTTCTAATCCACCTTCTGTTCCTCACATCGCTCAACTCTGAAATTCCCTCCAGTCACCCATAATAAAGGGTGTTTTGGGTTAGGTCGTGTAAATATAAATCGTTAAATCCACCACTGCCCGAAACAGCCAATTAGTAAGTTTTGCCACGTCAACGAGACCGAATCTAGAGGACGTCTTCACAATTCTGGATGCCGCCCGATGATGTTGGTTGTTGTGATCACCAGCGAAACGTCGTACTCGAATTGTAAATGTTGTGGGTTTACTCTCTAACATCGGTGTGCTAAACTAGTATCAAATTGGCACGTTTTATTTACATGGTAAACCTCACTAATTGACTGTGTTGGGTGGTGGCGGGTGTAACAAAACATTTATATTTAAGCGATATAACCTCAAAATATCTTTATTATGGATAATATTGGTCGCGAAAGCCTACGTGTTAAACTCCCTCCAATTACCTCATTAACCCTGCAGATCTGGTGCCCAAGTACAGAAAATGCACGTAAACTCCAGCGATTGTCATATGATCCGAAACGGCTTAGGTCAAAACGTGAAGCATTTGCGAGCATCCTGGCCAGATTGCAACGCTGAGCGTGCGGTGGCAGAGGGATCACGTCATCATTCCCACCTCACAAATCAGCTGCCAGGAAGACAACCCCCATGCAACATGGCCACTGCGTAGTCCCCATGCAACATGGCCACCATCACATCATCACTCCCTGTGCTGCAGCCAGTCTGTGGTGAGTAAAGTATATTTGTATTACTTATGATATTAGTTATTAATGTAATTAATATTATTAACGTTTGCATGTTTCTCTCCCCGTGGTCGCGTAGATTTTTCTCCGGGTCCTCCGGTTTCCCCCCCCCCCCCCCACATTTTAGAATCAACGTGTGTTTAGATTATTTGGCTGCAAAATATTTTCACCTGCGAAGCCACTTCGTTGAGCTATCATTTGTGGCCAGGTCGCTTCTGAAAAAGATCTATAGAGCTCAGTGGGCCTTAGCTGGAAAAAAAATATGTAAAATAATAAAAAAGAGGGGAAGTCACCCCAAAAGATTACGATAAAGAGTCCCTGTATAGCATTAACGGACTGTTGGGGCAAGTGCTGTTAGCGAGCACCTATGAAGGCCGGAACGGCACACAAGGGGGTGGGTAGTCGGCACCACGCCTGACCAGGTTTGTCTCCTCAGTACCAATGTTTTTATACACCGCACCAGATACTCATTTGAGGCCGAGTCAACCTAGGGGAGGCCCAAGACCAGTTCAGATAATCGTGACTGTTGTTGGCCATGAGCAGGAATCAAACTCGGGTCTCGAGGTTCGTAGCGTGGTATGCCAACCGCTGCACTGCCGCTCCTCATGGAAATCAGCTCCGCACGGTGCCACACACACGCGAGGCTGGCCACTACTGAGCCATCAAATCGAACGGAAGAATCTTGACACTGCCGGCGACAGCTCGATCGGCAGGATGCACTTCCCAGCCTCCGTCCTGTTTACCCGCGCGTGGCGCTTGTAACTCAGCAGCCGAGCCACAATCGTTCTCTCTCTCTCTCTCTCCCAGCAACTCACAATGGTGGCTAAAAATACCGCCGAGTTAAACTCGGCTTGCCCAATGCAGTTGCGGAACTTGGAAATAAATACAAACTCAAGAACACTATCCTTCTGCTTATTTGACAGAAAAAATAACGACCTTTCTGTACAGTGTATAGCAGGCCCGGACTGGCCATAGGGCAGTCCACATGGAAAATGCCCAGTGGGCCGGTCCATTCCGAGGGCCGGTGGGCCAGTCTGTGTGAGAAAATTGCAACTGTGATCACAGTAAAATAAAAAATACTTGGAATTAAAATATTGTATTACATCTGTGTATGCTGCATTGCTTATTTACACGCTCAGTTGGCATTAATTCACCATATTCGGCAGCCCCAAAGATTCTCCCTCACCAGCCCATTTGTGTTTTTGGACCCAGACAAAATAGGCCAATGAGATCGCATTGCAATTTGGGCTCGGTGTGTTTACAAATGGCTGGGCAGATTTTTTCGTCCCAGTCCGTCACTGATATACGGCACCTCTGTTAATCCTGTACTGAATGAAAGCCTAAGGCCTCCCCGTGCCTCGTTCATCATGAGGGGCTGTTTGATCATACACGTCCACGCTGATCAGTGCAGGTCAATACATTGGGGGGCAAGGGTTGGGCTCAGGACTGGTTTTGGACATTACAAACCACGTGGCCAGGAATTGAACTCGGGCTGCTGGGTTCAGAGTACAACCGCATTCGCCACCACACAACCGCTCCACTGCCCATGACATTTTCAGAAAACTGCGATTAAAATGTGATGCGCAGTGAGAGCACGTGACAGCTTCGCCGTGGGTGGGCAAAAAAACACACACGAAACAAAAAAAGAATGGGGCGCGAGAATTGATAAAAAAATATATAAAACTACAGATCCTGCTCACTGAATCTGATTGCGAACACAATTTACAGCGAGCCTTTTCACAATACGCCGCCGTCTTCAAGGTTATGAACAGAACAGGATTTATCACGCGCTAAACATCGCTTTTTTTTACGTACTGCTTAAAATTCCGAATGTGTAACGGTGGCCTTGCATGGGAATGCTACGGCGCAATAAATCACACGCTCATTACTCTGCGACGGTTTTCTCATCATTTTGCACCCTCCCAGCAATTACCGCCGCAGATCACGCGGCTATTTTTTGCGTTCCCTCCCCCTCTGCAGACGCCAAAATGCTCGCTGCCGCCAGAGCACACACCGCAGACACTGTACGCCTTGCGAGTGGAAAGCCGTTTTGTAAATCGAGTGCTGAATGAGGATGGCTCCGCACGCCCGTGCGGGTAGTGGGAGATATTTGATCGTACTTCACCACGCCGGTCAATTGGGGTTGGCGAAGGCAGGATTCTTTTGACGCACTGTCCTCTGCTGCCCAAACTGTAACACAGCCCCGCAAGAATCAGAATATAGATTTATTACTGGATGAATCCGATGAGCTATAAAGCTCTTTTTCACAGATGCCCAGTAGGGGCGGGTAAGAACGTGATAACAAACAACACAAAAACACGATAGGAGTGCAAAGTACAGGAAAAGCAAATAAAACTAAACCAATCCCATCCTTCCAGGCAAAGCACATTGAGATATTAACACCTTTGACAAACTACTTGTGCATGATGGGTCACGCACCGATCAAACAACTATCCAGTTTCAGGCCTGCTTTAGCTTCCGAGATCTGATGAGACTGGGCGAAATCCGGGTGATGTGGTCAGATTCTAGATACACCCAACGTATTTCGCTGTGTGTATCCCGTGCGTCAACTTGCGCGTGTGTGGGGGAACGTTTTCTCGAGTGGCAAGCGTACACAAAGCCAGCAACGCGAGCTCGATTCCCTGGCCACAGATAACACGAGCGGCAAGCGGTATCCGAATACGGTCCTGGACCTCGCCTAGGTCAGCTCGGCATTAAATTGCAACCCTAAAACAGTCCTGCAGAGACAAAGGTGGCACGGCTCGCGTAGCGATCGCCCCATCACCTCCGTGTGCCTCACGCTGGCCTTAATAGTCGCTCGCTGATGGCCCTTGTCACAATACATCAGGCGATGAAGTCTTTTGTCTTTTTTCACGTTTGCAATTAAAATGTGCTTGCAATCATTTTGAGAACAGAGCGCCACGCTTGAGCACTAATTGTACTATGGTGGTCGTGTCACAAGAGGAAGACAGCTATTTATGGCACTTCCCCAAGTCGCAAAGCCTCTCCGTTGTGTGGGAATGTCCACAGAAGGCATTACAAATTATCCCCTTCTCAGCCAACGCTAGATGGCGATCTTTCCCACGAATAGCGATTCAATCTATTTAAAGTATTCTTGGTTCTTTCGGTAAAGTCACGTAGAAGGGAAATAATAAAATAATAAAAATAAAACAATAAAATAAAATTCTCACGACGTTTCGGCCACAACACAAGCAGCCGTCCTCAAGCAGCCGTCCTGAGAATTTTATTTTATGTTTTATTTTTATTATTTTCCTTCTATGTGACTTTACCAAAAGAACCAAGAATATGAATCCCTGCAGTCACAAAAGCTTTAAATCGAAATCTATTTAAAGTAATTCCTCCGATTTAAGTCTTCCCCCCTTTTACGCTGTTTCGCAAATACGTCGTAACTTTATCACTAACACCGCGACCCGACTTTCGTCGCCTCAATCCCCACTCTCACGTCACTGACAGCATCGTCCGTCCTTTCTCGTATCCGTCGCCTCAGTCTTCGCCTCTACCTACCCTGTACGCGAACTACTTTGTATCGTACGTACAGAACTGTACCGTGCTGTAGATTACAAGATATTATTTACGAACGGTATTTTGGAGATTCGGAAAAATTTCTTTGATTTACGTCGTTGCGATATTCGTTGCACCTTTCAGGAACGTATTTCTGGTGTAAACAGGGGTATGACTAGATTTGAAGCTTTCGTGACTGCAAGGATTCATACTCTTAGGTTTTTCGGTAAAGTCACGTAGGTAAAAAAATAATAATAGAATTGAAAAAATTATAGAAATAAAATAATAAATCACGACGTTTCGGAGGCAACACAAGTCTCCGTCATCAGGTGGGGCCGTCAGCTAGATTTACTGTCTCAAGTGAGGCAAAATTCCAAGAGTCAAGCTCTTAAATACAAGTTAAGGGGGGGAGGGGCTTATCTGAATGTGGTAGCCAGGGAATGGAACGTGGGGGGGTAGGCGGGGCTACAAGCGAACAATCGGTGATCGTCGACCTGTGCAAGAGAACAATCGTTGTACCTCGACCTAAACAGGTGTGGCTGAAAATCCAGATACAAAAAAGCAGTACTGTTAAACGCTGGGATGTCAACACTCGGTAAAGTAGAAAAGATGGTACAAATATGTGTAGTTTAAACTTTTTTACATGGTTAATAACATCTTTCCAATGATTACTCAGTTTGTACCCATCATCACGGTTGAAGCTATGTCTGTGTTTGTATATCTGAATGGCTTCGTGTACAAACCTTTGATGGTAGTCAGGAGGTTAGCAGAGCACCTTGGTCTCGGAAAAGACAATCTCATGGGAACCCACAGCGTTGTAGCAATGATCGGCAACGGCGGAAGACTCAATTTTTGCCGTGTTTCAGATCTGACATGTGCTCGCGGACATGACGTTTCGTTTCCCCAATGTAACAAACACCACAGCTGCAACTCAGTTTATAGACTCCAGGGTACTGAAAGTCAGGAATGACATCCTTCACAGATGGAATTAAGTCACGGATTTTATGTACTGTACTGAATCAGACTTGGATCTTATGTTTGTTTAAAATTTTGGAGATCTTTTTGGTCACGCCTGCTATGTATGGCAACGTGATAGTTTTGATCGGAGTTTCAAGTGGCTGTTTCTGTATGGTGGGAGAAACAGCTTGGCGGATGGTGCGGTCAGAGTATCCATTCATCCTGAGGGCCCGATGTACATGTCTTAATTCACTGGCCAGGTGGTGTTGGTCAGAAATGCCATGAGCTCTGTGGTATAGTGTTTTTTGATGAGATAATTCTGAGACGGGTGGTGGTGGGAATCAGGTTTCAAGTAGGAATCTGTGTGGGTGGCTTTCCTGTAGACAGAATGTCCCAAGCATCCATCAGATCTCCTCTCAAACAGAATATCCAAGAATGGTAGTTTGCCATCTTTCTCCACTTCCATGGTGAATCTGATGGATGGGTGTCTGGAATTGATGTGGTCCAGGAAGTGGTTCAATGCTGGGAGGCCATGTGGCCAAATGACGAAAGTGTCATCCACATATCTCTTCCACAGGGAAGGACGCAGGGTGGACGTCTGATTGGCATCTGATTCAAACTTTTCCATGAACACATTGGCTATTACTGGTGACAAGGGGGAGCCCATAGGGGTACCCTCATTCTGTTTGTAGAAGGTGCCATTCCAGGTAAAATAAGTGTTGGTGAGGCAATGCCTAACCAGCACAGGTACATCCGAATTCAATCCATGTTGGACCAAGTCTTCAATTATTGTTAGGATGTCAGGTACTGGGACTTTGGTAAACAGAGAGACCACATCAAAACTGACGAGGATATCATCAGGAGATAGTACCATGTCCTTGACCATAGAGACCAATTGGGTTGAGTTCAGTACTGCTGAAGAGGTCTTGCCAGTGAAGGGAAGCAGAGTATCTGATAGAAAAAGGGCTAGTTTGTACGTAGGAGAGTTGATCGTGGACACGATGGGCCGTAGTGGGGTGCCTTCTTTATGGATCTTGGGAAGACCATAGAATCTGGGAGGTCTAGCAGCCGAGGGTTAACAGTACTGCTTTTTGTATCTGGATTTTCAGCCAACACCTGTTTAGGTCGAGGTACATCGATTGTTCTCTTGTGCAGGTTGACGATCACCGATTGTTCACTTGTAGCCCCGCCCACCCCCCCACGTTCCATTCCCTGGCTACCACATTCAGATAAGCCCCCCCCCCCCCTAACTTGTATTTAAGAGCTTGACTCTTGGAATTTTGCCTCACTTGAGACAGTAAATCTAGCTGTGACGGCCCCACCTGATGACAGAGACTTGTGTTGCCTCCGAAACGTCGTGATTTATTATTTTATTTCTATTATTTTTTTTTAATATTATTTATTTTTTACCTACGTGACTTTATCGAAAAACCTAAGAGTATGACTGTATATGGCGAGATGTTAACTACCTCAGCTATTATACAGAAGGCCGTGGGTTTGATCCCGACCCTGATTACTTGTATGAGGCAAAAATATCTGTTTGTGTGTAACGCGTGTGACGTCACTCCACATGCCGCACCCGCCCCCCCCCTGTTATTAATATTCGTGAGCGGGTGGATTTTTACACTCACGCAGAAGAAGTTCGAGCGGAAATATTTTTTTTTGCAATTTCGCTTTAAGTTTGACGTTTCTTTATTGAAAATGAACCTAATAAATAATTCCACGCAGCAACAAAGTGGATTTGGTGTCTTTATTTATTTCTTCAGCACTTGAGGCAATAGGTAAGTCTTATTTATGCTTCTAGATTATGGTAAAAATAGACATTTCTCGGTGATTTTCCAGATATTGTATATAATTCCAATTTATTTCAACCCCAGCGACTGAAAGCAGTGAATTTGAACAAATTGAAGGTCAGTTTTATAAAGTGCTACAGTAACATGAAGTGAGGTGTTTTATGACGTAGTTTTGTGCAAGAATCACTGCCATTAATACAGTACTCCAGTGAACTGCAGTGAACTGTTTTATGACATACTTATGTGCAAGATTCACTGCCATTAAATTTACACAAGATACTATTATACTCTGCTCAATTGTTTCGTAAATATTACAGCTTCCGTCCTAGGACGGGCAAACAAGCTAGTGCCTATATATTTGGAGTTTGCATGTTTTGCCGATTGTCGCGTGAATTTTTATCCAGCTCCTCCAGTTTTTCCCTCCACATTTACAAACGTGCGTTTCGAGTATTTGGCTGCAAAACATGTCCACATCACAAGCCACTTTGTTGAGCTATCATTTGTGGCCAGGTCACATTTGAAAAAGAGCTGAATTAGATTCAAATATCCCGGATGAAAAACCACAGTGGGGAAAATGTCTCTTGAATGGTCAATTCAATTCTTGCGCATGATGGCATTGTGTTCAGGAGCTAAATTCTCAAGTTGAGGTCGGCGAGCAACGATGAGTGGGCCCTCAGCAAAGTGCCTGTTGTTTTGTTGTGTCTCCTCCAGTGAATAAGTGCAGACTGCAGTGGTGTACGAGATGGCCCACAGTTTTGTGTTGCATGGCCGCAATCACACTGCTGTGGATTGTCTTCCATGAAGAAAACACGGAGACCATCAACTCTGCACATTTCAGAAATTGGTTTCATTGCAGGCAATTGGAACCAGAATTAAAACATAACACCTCAATGTCGTTTTCTGGAAGTCTCCAACACAACCATTGTAAGCCCTCTCAGCCAAAGTGCCAACTACTCTCATATAAAATATATTCCCAGAGTGTCTACCCGTTTCTTAATATTACCCCCATGGCAATGCGGAATCTACCACCGCTCACCCCACTGTTCAAGAGGCAGAGACGGTGACCTCGACCTTGACCCGATGACCTCACCTGTGCGCGTGACGACGCCGGTAACCCGGCCGACGCAATGGAGGATGGAGTCGGGCTCGGAGGTGCGCGGGTCGCGGTAGCGCACGCTCGACGTGTGAGCCAGGCCCGGGCGAGGCCCCACCACTCCCAGGTGCGGGTGGCGCTCCGACAGGTAGCGCAGCAGGGCGTCCAACTTGCGCACGTCCACCACCTCCCGCCCTGCCGCTCGTAGCGAGACCGACGCAACGTGGGCGTGCGTGTTAACGGGACGTTAGCGGTACGTTAGCCGGACGTTAGCCGGACGTTAACGGGATGTTAACGGGACGTAAGCGGTACGTTAGCCGGACGTTAGCCGGACGTTAACGGGATGTTAGTGGGATGTTAACGGGACGTTAGCGGTATGTTAGCCGGACGTTAGCCGGACGTTAACGGGATGTTAGTGGGATGTTAACGGGACGTAAGCGGTACGTTAGCCGGACGTTAACGGGATGTTAGTGGGATGTTAACGGGACGTAAGCGGTACATTAGCCGGACGTTAGCCGGACGTTAACGGGATGTTAGTGGGATGTTAACGGGACGTAAGCGGGACGTTAACGTGATGTTAGCGGGATGTTAACGGGACCTTAGCAGGACGCGCCACGCAGTGCCGTGGGCCCCGTCGGTAGGAAAGAAATTGTGGACCCTTTTCAAACCCCCTTTCTTCATTTAAAAAACTATTAAACTATTTAAATATTTTATTTTATTTTGCCAGGAAAAGCCTACAGACCTATTTGGCAGGACCCATGCAAATACAACCACGTAATTTGGATAAAATTCTCAGGAAATCATCAACTACATGAAATGTAACGCAACACAATTTGTCGGATTGTACACAACACTGCCGCTATATTTATTTTTGTTGTTATAATATATCTTCCTTAATTTTGGAGCTTTCGTGACTGCAGGAATTATTCTTTGGTTTTTTCGGTAAAGTCACGTATAAAGATAAAATCATATTTAATTTATTATTTTATCTTTATACGTGACTTTACCGAAAAAACCAAAGAATAATAAATCTTTTCACATCAAACATTCGTCACTTCCCCCATCTCATCTGCAGGCAGGGATCTGGGTTCAGTCTCGCGGCTGAGCCGCAAAAGAGCCTGAGCAATAAACCGCGCGTTAGCGACACCCGACGAACTCGGTCGCTCGCGTCACTGCCCAGCGCATTATCAAATCTGAGCGCGCGTGAAATCGGTTCTTCCAATGAGCTAAACAGCTCTCTTTCAGAAGTGACCTGGCCACAAATGATAGCCCAACGAAATTTAGAGCAGCCAGATACTCTAAACACGTGATGCTGATTCAAAATGTGGAGGGGGAAAAACCGGAGAACCCGGAGAAAAATCCACGCGACCACGGGGAGAGAGACACGCAAACTCCAAGTATACAGCAGGTGTCAGGGACGGGATCGAATCCACGACCTTCTGCATACCAGGCGAGGTAGTTAACATCTCACCACCGGGGCATTGCCCAGCACATGGGCTCCTCGGGCCCATGGGCCCAGCCCGTGCAGTTGCACCACCTGCATACTCGATAGCAATGAAACTGGCATCGCACTGCGGGTTAAACAAAACATAATTCGTCGTCTCTACCGCAAGGAACACCTTAGCATCACCATGGTGAGTAACCATGGTGATGCAGGGTAAAAGCTAATGTACAACAAGAAGGCACAGGGGCAACACAGGTGGTGTATCTTGCCAGTCATCTTATTCGGTTACCCATAAGATGTGGGTCGGTTCTGTGACCTGCTGTCAGTGAGTCTTCCACACTTCAAGTAGCCCAAAAGTGCACCAAGCCTGGCAAAAGCGCTGCGGTCACGTCACGATCACTTATTGGTGAATAATTTATGTTGCTATTGTGTGCCTGGGTGCCTGTGTGTCTACATGCCTATGCGTGTATATCTGTGTGTGTATTCGTTTTCCTGTGTCTGTGTTTCGATGCGAGTACCCTATTGTGTGTGTGCCTGTATGCGTGCAATATGGGGAGCAAGTGTAGCGGCTAGTGCACTGCGCGATTAACCCATCGGCCCGAGTTCCATTCCCGCTCACGAACCAATACCAGTAACGATTATCAGAACCGGTACTAGGTCTCTCCTAGGTCGCCTCAACCTCAAATGAGTATCTGGTGCAGTGTGTAAACATCAGCACTGGGGAAACAAAGGCGGTCACGATCGTGGTGCTGGCCACCCACCCCCTCCTATGCCGTGCCGGCCTTCATAGGTGCTACTCACAAACAGCACTTGCCCCAACAGTCTGTCAAGGCTACACGGTGGGACCTTTGTCTTGTGTGTGTCGCACCAGCGAATGTGTGCGAGTGTGCGCCGCTCACAGTGGGAGGCTTGCACCAGTGGCCACAGGCCGAGCTTGAGCATACGGCTCGCTGGGCTCAGCTGCAGTACCTCCTCCTGCCTCCACGTGTCCATATGGGGGCAAACGTCTGGGGGGGGGGGGGTAGTGGGCAGGCGAAAACGAGAGGGGGGGGGGCGACGGAAGGGACATTTATGCAAAAAATTAACCGATATTTTTTTTTATTTTACCATGTAAGGCCCACTGATCGAAATAGCTCTTTTTCAGAAGTGACCTGGGCCACGAATGACAGTTCAACGAAATGACTTATCATGTGTAACTTTATAGCAGCCAAATACTCTAAACGCATTTTTCTAAATGTGGAGGGTGAAACCAGAGGACCCAGAGAAAAATCCACGCAACCACAGGGAGAGAGACACGCTAACTCCAAATATACAGGCTTCAGGGTCGGGATCGAACCCACAACCTCCTGCAGACCAGGCGAAGGAGTTAACATCTCCCCACTGTGGCACAAAGAACCTGCAACTTGGCCGGGTTTGAAAGTTTTACAACGCATTTAGGTAATAACGATGCAGCTATAAAAGAATTCACTATCGGGTCTGGCTAATGCTTTGGCAAAAACCGGTACGGCAATACCCCCATTTACGTCTCCCCCTTTTACGTGGTCTCGCAAATACGTCGTCACTTTGTTATCAATACCGTTGCCCGATTTGCTTCGCCTCAAACCCACAAGCATTACCTCCGGTTCGCACGGTTGGCTACGTACGGTGCGAAAGAAGTCCAACAAACAAACTGTAAATATAAAAAAGAAACTTGCAGTATGTGTGCTGACTTTTGGGCTACCCTGGAAATATATAATCTATATATCAACGCACTTGTCAACAACAGTGCCTTCAAAAAAGCAATATATAATTGGTGACATTTCAGGCAATGGCCCCGCTTGATAGCACAACATGAAGTTGGGTCATTTCCTGAAACGTCGCCGACTATATATTCTTTCCTCTTAATGAGTGCGTTGAGTTTTTGTTGTTGGTAATTGTGCTTCTGCCCCACTGCCAACGCAGCAGCAGCAGCATCACCAAATTATACGTTTAAATATATCCACATTTGCGCACCTGTGTTCATGAGCGTTAATGCGCGTTCTCAACGTGCTGAGTGCACATGCAGCCTCGGACGTCTCAAGCCAGAAGCCGACGTGAGAATGTCGCTCGTGAACAGCAGAGGGTGCCAGTTTCTCTCTGCAGCTCATCAATAGCACTGCCATCACTGTCACCACCACTAAAACCACCGCCACCACCACCATCACGGTCACAACCCTCCAGCACCGTGGGCCCCGCTGCGGTTGCCCCACCTGCACACTCAAAATCTGCGCCACTATTACCACCATCACAACCTCCACAACTACCACCCTGTTAACTCCTCCTACTTCTACCAAAAGACAAAGATCCCCCGTTTAGCCTTAACAGACTTGGGGAAAGTGCTGTGAGCGAGCACCTATGAAGGCCGGCATGGTACACGAGCGGGTGGGTGGTCAACACCACGCCCGACCGCCTTTGTCTCCCAAGTGGCGATGTTTACATACCACATCAGGTCTTCATTTGTGGCTGAGTCGACCTTGGGGAGCCCAGGACCGGTTCAGGTAATGATCACTGGTGTTAGCCGTGAACAGGAATCGAACTCGGGTCGCAGGGTTCGTAATGCAGCGTACTAACCGCTGCACTGCTCCCCACTACTACTACCATCACCACGATTACAACCTCTGCCATCGCCACACTCACAATAACCACAACCACTATTATCTCCACAACCACGACGTTCTTCACGAACACCACAAACATTACCACCACCACTACTATCACCATCACCTCCACATTTACCACCCTGCTGAAGCACAACACCATGGGGGTTGTGCCAGACAAGGTGCACTTTGAGCCCACAAGAGTGTGGAAGGCCAGCTGGCCTTCACTCAATCATGTTAACACACACACACGTGCAAAGACTAATGCAAATACACGTGCAAAGACTAATGCAAATACCCGCCATTCGTCACATAGTGACGGTGATGTCACCAAAGTGCCTGTGCCAGGCCAAGTGCACTTTGAGGCCACGTGAAGTGTCGAAGGCGCGCTGACAGGATATCATGCGACAGACCCAGGTGCCATGGCTTGGCTGATGACTGGCAGATGCACCAGCTGTACCCCCTACTATGCTAACTTGGTGCATTTTTGCCCCCAGTGCTCCACTCGTTGTTGTGAGCGTCGCTCCTCTTCCCTCCGTTGTTGTTGGAGGGCAATGCCCAGTAGCGTCCTTCACGAGACTCCTCCATAAAGGCCGATCTTGACACCACTGGTGCCAGTCTTCGGCAAGTCCACTGGGCTCCACCTCCTTCCATACCACATTAGTCCATCTTCTCTCCAACCCATGTCGTGCCCGTTTATCCCCCTCTATCCGGCTACACAGAAGCTGCTTGGGCATGTGGTGGTTGGGCATGCGAACAACATGACCTAGCCAATGCAGCCTTGCCTGCCGGAGGAGCTAACTGGGGGGAATGTGTTCAGATCTTTCAAGGATTTGTGAGCTCCTCACACAATCAAGCCTGGTATAAACCCAGGATGCATAGCAGGCAGGCCAAAGACACACGCTCACACCCAATAACGCGTGTACACACACACAAAGATCCCCCGTATAGCCTTAACAGACTGTAGGGGCAAGTGCTGTTAGCGAGCACCTATGAAGGCCGGAACGGTACACGAGGGGGTGGGTGGCCAGCACCACGCCCGACCGCCTTTGTCTCCCCAGTGGCGATGTTTACACACCGCACCAGGTACTCATTTAAGGCTGAGTCGACCTAGGGGAGGCCCAGGACCGGTTCAGATAATCGTCACTGGTGTTAGCCGTGAGCGGGAATCGAACCCGGGTCGCCAGGTTCATAGCGCAGCGCGCTAACCGCTACACTACCGCTCCCCCACACACACACACACACACCTTGTCAAACACTCACGTGCAAGTATGCACGCACACACAAGCACGGCCACTCACTTGAACGCATACACACTCTTACACGTGTTCGCACACGTGTATACGCGTGTAAGTGTGCACGTGCGCTCACACACACACACTCACTTGCACGCGCACACACACGTGCAAGTGTGCGCGCAGGAAACACACGACTGCAGGCCGCGTGTTATTGTTGGGGTGGAAAGCCGTCTATTCCGCCCGCAACACCGCCCTGCGCTTTCCGGAACGGAGACATTCAATTTAATTTTATCGCTGCCGTGCTAGTGAGCAGCGGCAGCCGTTGCAGCAGCAGCAGCAGCGGCGGCGGTACAACCCTTCCTTCCTACACACGCGCACGGACGGGCGGGCACCCGTGCCCCACCACAACCACCACCGCCGTGACTCACTCGGCGTTGTTTGTTCGTTGAAACCTTCTCGTGCATTGTTTTTTTTACGTAACTTTTCTTACGCAACCCTTGGGATAAGTGTTTATTAATAACCACTCCTTTTTGTTTTTAAATAGATATTAAGTCATGCTCGAAAAACAAGGCAGGCTGGCACGCAGGGCATGGGGTTATACTGACACAGCTGGTGGGCAGGGCAGGTGGTTACACTGGCACAGTGATCAGTTTCAAACATATTCCGTCGCTGTAAATACAAAACGAGAATTTTACCGGTACGGAATTTAATCTCCGCAAGAAAACACGCCCGTTGCGTAATATAATTAACTTGCTGAGCCTCGGATTTTCATTACGTTCGCTGGCTAAACGGATTTGGATGTGGATTACACTTGGATGGGCGACCGATTTGCCAATGCAGGTCCTGGCAGAGTAATGGATGCACTATATTAGGTAGAGTTCAGAAATCAACGCGGCAATATTCTCGGGCGGGTACCGTGCCGTATAAAGTAAAAGATTAAAATAAATATTTAAATACAATTTTTATTATGGTGCCCAAATTGATAATACAATCTGCATAATTCTGTAAAAACAATATTATATGGCACCCAATTCATATGCTTGAACGCAGGCCTCCCCATGCCAATGTGGGGAGTCGTGTGAGTTGCATGACCATACTTCACCACGCTGGTCCGTACTGGTCGGCGAAGCGGTGCTATTCTCATCACAATACGGAAACGTTTTTTGGGCTGGGCAGATTTCTCCCAAAAGGCTACATTACAAATTACAACTAAATAGCTTCTCTCTTACGGAGCTGGACATTCCATTAAATCCACGCCCAAAAGAAAGCACATGCGTGTAGAAAGAGCTAATCTTGTGGCCACCGTACGGAACAAGAGTTACTGCACTACATTGTCAGGGGTCGGTGTTACTCAACGCAGAAATATGCCGTGCGTAGTCAGATGCAACGTGGTTGGCATGGGCTCTGTCCAAAGACAGGACACTGTGGTATTGTTGTTCTAAGGGAGACACGGAGCCGTCTGCAGCCACGCTCTGCGATTGTGAAATCCCCTTCCACGGTCTATAAGAGATTCCGAGTCTGTTTCACTTTTCAAATCGGTCTTAAAACTCCCCTATTTGTACTGCAGACTTTCCCTGTAAATAACAAAAAATCTCGTCCGATTGGATTACTCTGTAATTATTATTATTCGCTTTTATCATAGTTGTTCATTTTATTGGAATTTCGATAGTAAAGTATTTTATATTGTTATCAGCTTTCTATTTCGCTTAGATTCTATCTATACTTGTGAGTGTAAGTTTTATCTGTAGGTCCTTTCCTTTCAGATACTTCAAGATGAAAGGCGCTTTATAAAATTGCAGTTGCACCGCCTGCTCGATCGGTTAGCTACGCCACCGCTGGCACCGGATAATTCCACCACACCGTTCCTCCGCACCGTTTCGCCGAGAGAGGGCTAGAGCACGGGTGAAACGCCGCGGGGAGGGGGGGGATTCGTTGTTTCTGCCGTGCCGGCGAGGTGCTGCTGCATTTGTGGTGCCAACACAACCCCAGTTGGGGCAGGAAAGGGAGAAAGTTTAAAACGTATTTTTCCTATCCCAGAGACAATTCCTCGCAGCGGAAGGAGGGGCCCGGGAATGCGCGTGGCACGCGACCAACACGTTCTGTTCCGCAAACATTTACGCGCAACACAATGGGAGCATAAATAAGCAGAGATGC